TGGGTAGGCCGACAATTACTACCTTTTTAGCCGGCTCCACAAGTTGTCGGCAGGAATAGTGGGCTAACCGTAGGAGCAGCTCGAGTCATCCATCTTTGAATATGTCTGATTAGGCGTGGAACGGGACATATGTCGACCTCCCAAGAAAGATTAACACTTAATTACTTGCTATGATAAAGTGTGCATTAGCCAAGTCAAAATTAGCTCAAAAACTACTTTATATAACCAAAAAAATCTATAAACCAAATATAAGACTCTCTATGACTATTTCACAATATAAAACATGATAAATATAGGAATAGGTTGTTAGACCCTAATGCCACTAGGAAAGAACCCTAGAGGAGGGTGAATAAGGCTTATGCTAATCTAATCCGATTTAAATACCAATTAAAACTTATTAACAAATTATCCTAGCAAGTATGATATAATTAAAACTTATTAACAAATTATCCTAGCAAGTATGATATACAACAAGATATATGCAAGGATAAGTGATATGAACAAAGAGATATTCCTAGCAAGTATGATATACAACAAGATATATGCAAGGATAAGTGATATGAACAAAGAGATATATATCCGAGCAAAGAGGTATATGGTGAAATATATGAAAGGATATATAAACTAACACAAGAGTGAAATAATCATAAACAAGTTAATTCCAAAATTGATAAAACTTTAGGAAACATTTATAAACATAAAATTGAACATGTTAGAAAAATAATTTCTCAAATTGAATTTCTCATTTGTAAAAACTCATGTATTTTGCAAGTGTGTCCAAAACATAAAAATATGATATACATGAAATTTGATGTTTTGACATAAACAATGTTTTGAAATCCTATGAAATGATTTTATGGACTTAATAAAATATGTATACAATGATTGTTAAATCCATAAACTAAAACTTGTGTACATATATAACTATATATATATAAAAACCAAATATGTGTGTGTATATATGATTGAGCTTAAAGTACTAACACACATAATATAAAACCTAAACTAAATATACCCAAGCTTGATTGATCTTCGATATAGCTCAATTTGGTACACTTATGGATGAAGCTAGAACTTGGATCTTCAATTTGGATTGCATAGGTTTCACTCCACAATTCCGCCAACCTCCATTGGATATGATCGTGAATGCGTAATTCCATCCATCCCCCAACATGTTCTTTGTCTATAATAAATATATAAACACAAACACTAGACAAAAAATATTAGTTGTAAATTGTTTGTTAAACATCATCAAAACAAGTCTAAATGGCCTTTTTGGCCACAAATTTAACACTTGTGAATTTTACTATACATGTGTGCATGATGTGTGATATGTTTAGGTGTAGTAGTATGAGACTTAGCACACATGTTCATAAGCTTATCATGATTTACCATACATGTTTTCAAGGTTGAATCTAAACACGATATGTGATGTTTAACTTGACTCAACTCATCATTTTGCATACATGTATTGGAAATAGAAATAGAGCATGGGTGGTTATTCTTAAAAGAATCAAATTTATTTCTAATGTATTCTACTTCTAACATGGCATTATCTTTAGCATGAGATAAGCTAGACATGGATAAGTTTAATTTTTTATTTTCCAAATTTAACACGTTATTATTTTCTTTAAGCATAATATTTTCTTTTGCAATGACATCAAATTTGGATACTAGTATCTCATGATCGGATTTCAAATCTACATTCTTGCTTTTTAGATCTATAAAATTATTTTGCAACTTGGTGTAGGCATACATTAATCTTTCATATGCACAAGCTAGTTCATCAATAGATAAATCATTATCAGAATCGGAATCGCTTACTACACAAGTGTTATCCTCTTGTGGCCGTGTGCATGATGCTCCACATGAACTTGAAGAAGAATCCTCCAAAGCTTGTCGGATTACCTCCAAGTCCCCTTGATGTGCTTCAATAAATTTCCAAAGTTTGTAAGTACTATAAAAATGAACAAATTTGTTAGAAAAGGATGAGTCAAAAGCATTAAGCAAAAATTCTAACAAAAACTTGTTCATTGTAAACATTTTATGATCATGTTTGCTCCACTTGGATTTCTCCGAAGTAGGCACAATGTAAGCATCGTCTATAATTTCCCACAAATCAAAATATCTAGACCAAATAAAAAGTTTGAATCTAACACACCATTGGGCATAGGGAAAACTATCTAATCTAGGAGAAATATTAATGACATAGCCTAAGCAAGGTGTACCATAAGATAACTTGGATCTATAACTCAAGGCGATTAGATCTTAAATCAAAGAGCACCAAGCTCTGATACCAATTGTTAGACCCTAATGCCACTAGAAAAGAACCCTAGAGGGGGGTGAATAAGGTTTATGCTAATCTAATCCGATTTAAATGCTAATTAAAACTTATTAACAAATTATTCTAGCAAGTATGATATATAACAAGATATATGCAAGGATAAGTGATATGAACAAAGAGATATATATCCTAACAAAGAGGTATATGGTGAAATATATGCAAGGATATATAAACTAACACAAGGGTGAAATAATCATAAACAAGTTAATTCCAAAATTGATAAAACTTTAGGAAACATTTATAAACATGAAATTAAACATGTTAGAAAAATAATTTCTCAAATTAAATTTCCTATTTGTGAAAACTCATGTATTTTGCAAGTGTGTCCAAAACATGAAAATGTGATATACATGAAATTTGATGTTTTAACATAAACGATGTCTTGAAACCCTATGAAATGATTTTATAGACTTAATAAAATATGTATACAATGATTGTTAAATCCATAAACTAAAAACCCTATGAAATGATTTTATAGACTTAATAAAATATGTATACAATGATTGTTAAATCCATAAACTAAAACTTATGTATATATATAACTATATATATAAAAACCAAATGTGTGTGTGTATATATGATTGAGCTTAAAGTACTAACACACATAATATATAACCTAAACTAAATAAACCCAAGCTTGATTGATCTTCGATGTAGCTCAACTTGGTACACTTGCGGATGAAGCTAGAACTTGGATCTTCAATTTGAATTGTATAGGCTTCACTCCATAATTTGCCAACCTTCATTGGATATGATCGTGAATCCGCAATTCCATCCATCCTCCAACATGTTGTTTGTCTACAATAAATAGATAAACATAAACACTAGACAAACAATATTAGTTGTAAATTGTTTGTTAAATATCATCAAAACAAGAAGGCCAACATAGGTGTGTGAAATTACTGCGTAAAATATCTTAGGTAAACAACATTTACTGTAATCATTTTTTAATCATTGTGTGTAAAATTACATACATATAGATTGAAAAACCATATGTAAAATTGTGTGACACAATCAAGCCTATATACCAAAAGATAATTTTATTTGAATCAATGTTGGAAAAGACTATACATAGGCTAAAAAGAAAGAAATAGAATTTTTTTTGTTTTGTTTTTGATAAAAAATGAAAAAGAAAAATCTAAAAAACCCTAAAAGAAAAAAGAAAGAAATCAAAAAAATCTAAAAATGTGTACATACAACATGAAAGTGAGCATGCAAATATACAGGAACCTACTAAACTAACTATCCATCAACCAAAGTGCAGGTAATAAGTTAGTATTGACCAAGTATCTCAAGCATCAATAAAGAATATTTATATCCAAAAAAAGAAAACAGAAAAAGTTTGATACAGCTAGGTAAAAGAAAATATACTTGAGATAAAAACATGTCCTTTTAAAGAGGAAAAAACCTATTGAAAGTTTGTTTCTCCTTATTTTTCTCTTAGATAAAGGATTGGATATCAATCTCTCACTCTTCCCAGTAACCGTTGTGTATTGCCTCAATCCTTGGTCTTCCAATAGCCCCACATAAAAATAGATAGGTGTGACCTAAATATTTACATAGGTCCATATTGGTTAACAATCATACCTTTAGGTACCCAAATATGCTTAATAATTTAACTCTATATTTACCCATTCTACCACATAAATGACACA